ATTATGAAATGACGGTCAAGGACATTAAGGAACTTGACGTTCCTTAATTTACATTTGAACTTGAAATTGAGCAATATAATATCTGTTAACAGTTTAAAGTAATACTATATTATTATACTTACTAATATAAATTAAACAAATTTACATAAAAAATAAAACCTAACCCAACGACATTAGTCGTGTGTGTCATGTGTAGAAATAATATAAGACTACTAACAAACACATCACTGTCCTAATACTTTGTGTCTTCTCTCACGCAGACCCTGGTCAAACAGTTGGACACCATCCTCAGCACCTTGAATGACATTTTGAATGAAAGGTAAGAGAAAGATAGGTGCTTTAGCTTCATTGGGATCAGGACTTCTGGACATACTGGAAGAAGGTGTTGTCAATATAGGTGGGAAACATGTCAGGGACTGCAGCGGGGTTAAACGTCCAGGGCAGTAAAAATAGAAATGACAAAACAATATTAAAAATCCTAAGAAATGTAAACACCTGCCAGCCTTTTTGTCTTGAAGGTAGGTGTCAGAACTGGGGTTGGGCCAGAGTGAAAATTTCAAAGCGTTTAGAAGGCGCATAAAGGCTCTTCAATCAGCTGTTCAGAAATGTTGGAAATGCTGGAAGAAGGGATGTCGCGATCAAGTTTTCTTGCCATTTAATATTAAGTATCTGCTGATACAGAGTCCTGATCCAATACTATAGTAGTTCAATAGTATTTTCCCAGATAATACAGTTGCAAGTACATACAAGGTATTCAGATCGGTCCTATGTTTGACATTTGAATAGCTCTGCATTGCATTAAGAAAAGCCAGTACTGATGGGTTAAAAAAATACCTTCATCTGCCCCCATACGATCCCTGGGATCAGACCAGGACATCCCTACAGATGTGGATATGTGCATATCATTACACAAAGGCAGTGCCACCACAGACCACCTTCCTTAGTGCACAAACTGGCAACAATCACAACCAAGCATAGATACACAGCTGTCTAACAAAATACATTTTGTATTGGCTGCAGCAAATACTGTTTTCCTGACAATTATAAAAAGAGGAGCTTGTAAGTCCAAAATAAATCTAAGATAATTTGATGGTGTTCATTATGTTTAGTTTAGAAGCATGTCAGTGTGTAGTGCGCTTTGAGTGGTTGGAAGACTAGAAAGGCGCTATACAGGTCCATTTTTTTTAAAAAAAATTTGTGCTTTAGTTTATTATTTTTAGTGAAATATAAAGTGACAATATCCTGGAAATAATTAGTCTGAACTGTAGCCAAATTAATGTTAGAGAGAAACTGAAGTCAGTGCAGAAAGTGGAAAAATCTGCTGTGGTGAGGACAGGCAAGCATGCCACAAAAGTGAGCTTAAATGATTACCACTTCATTTGTGAGCAAACTCCTGCAAACTGATTTCTTAAAAATAGTGGGAACCTTATGATTTCCACATAGATGTAGGTATTCCAGTGAGTGAAACGAGTAAATGCTCTCAAATTGTAACAAAGGTGCATCTACTTGAGGCATCTGGAGACCAGGCTCAAGTAGTGCCATCCTGACTACACATCTCAGAAGCATGACATGTACACTTACACTCTGATAGTCCCATAACCACGTGGTCTCTAACATGTAGTCTCTTTGCCGGTGTTGTTGACGTGTGTAGCAGCAAGCTGTTGTGGGAGTTGCGTCAGGACGCGGCTGCCTGCCTGGGTCTCCTCTGCACAGTGCTCAGCTACGAGGCGGAGCGCATCTTCAAGTGGCTCTTTCTCAAGTTGACTTCAAGTAGTCGCGACGAGGTGAAGCTGTTGTACCTGGTCTCAGCGCAGCGAGCTCTGGAGGCTGCTGGAGAGAGGAAGGCCTTCTCTCACGTCATGCAGGTAACAATGCACAGGACATAGGCTTCAGTTGATTTCTGTAAAGCTCTGGACATTCTGTGGCCAGTTTCTTGTAGATGGGTCCCTCCTTAGACTAGTCTTATGTCAAAGTTGTTATTCTGTGTTTTGTGTGTTTCAGCTGGTGATGAGCAACCTGCAGTCCATCCTGGAGAACGTGGACACACCAGAGCTGCTTTGTCAAAGTGTGAAGTGTATTCTTCAGGTGGCTCGCTGCTACCCGCACGTCTTTAGCACCAACTTCAGGGTGAGTGTTTCAGCAGCGATCGGCCCATTAGCTACCTGCTAATCCTTTAGAGGGCCGATCCCAGCTAGAATGAGCCTGGCCTTATAGTGGTTGGTATTATTTCATATGTTGGCTAATGCAGGCTCCTTTTCCTTTGATGTTCTGCAGGACACAGTGGATATCTTGGTGGGCTGGCACATCGACCACACACAGAAGCAGTCAGTCACTCAGCAAGTTTCCGGTTAGTTGGATTTCTTATCAGCACTCAAAGATTGTTGTAGAAGAAGTTTTATCTAATGTTCAGATTGCAAACTCTTCAGCCCTGTCTACTTGTAATAAAGTTGGATGGACATTGTCTGAATATCTTTGGGGACAAAACAAGACATTTGAGGATGTCACATTAGGCTTTGGGAAACACTGATTCACATTGTTCATCATTTTCTGATGTATGGACCAAACCACTAATAAATTAATTGAGAAAATGATTGACAGATTAATTGATAATAAAATAATCGTTAGTTGCCGTCCTACTGCCATGAAATTGGGCAAGCCTGTTCTATATGCTTCTTTCACTATACTGCCTGTGTAGACATGGTGTAAAAGCTTAATGGTACTTTTTTAATGTCTGCTCTCCCTGTCTTTGTTTAGGCTGGTTACAGAGTCTGGAACAGTTCTGGGTGGCAGACCTGACCTTCTCTACCACCCTGCTGGGACAGTTCTTGGAGGATATGGAGGCGTATGCAGAGGTGAAGTTAGTCGTTAAGCCTGCTGCACACTGAAATTCTTTACAACCAATGCCGAGAGTTAGTTTATATCTACAGAGGGAGGCTGGTATGTTCAACTAGACAGACAGACAGACAGACTTTCCTGTCACTCTTTAGCTGTCACTATCAATTAAAAGGCAATAAAAATGTTTTAATTAAATTAAGAAGAGACTCTCTCTACAAGTTAGTTATTAGGTGTGAATGCTCACTCAGTTTTTCGTGATTTCTCAACTGTTACCTACTCATTCATGCTTTCAGCTAAAAAGTCCATTCAAACACTGAAATATTCAACATCTTTCAGACATTCTAGCTATTATTCAACTTTCAAATCCTATTAAAATGTTCAGAGCTAGAGTGCGTGACATCACTACAGTGGACTTTTTCATTAGACTCTTTCACATCTTTCCAAGTACAATACTCCTTCAATTACTTCCAAAAAATTAAAGCCAGCGATTCAGTATCGTCAGCTCTTCAACACACCTTCAAATCTTCCATCTTTTACAGATTATTAATATTATTTAACTTTTACAGCTAGCAATTGAGCCTGGCGTAAGCCGTTCAGCAGTGAGCATTCACACCCACAATTTCTTCAGAAAATGCAATATCTAGTTATAGGTAGTTATACAAAGAGTTGCAGTCAGTAGCTACACCGTTGGAGGCCTTTTTAAGACCTATTTTCAGTCCATAATGGCAAAAAAAGTACGAAGAATATGAAGGAAAATCCGACTCACAGAATTACTTAGTAAATTAATTTATTCACCTTCAACAGGAACATTAAATGGACATCTATGACTTCCCATGCAACTCTAATGCCTTTTTTATACCCAAAGTTCTTTTATTTAAGTGTTTTCTTGCACAAGGTGCAGCAGGCTTCAAACGTGTTTTCAAAAGGCTTCATCCAAGCACAAAATTTGCTGTTTCGAGCCAGAACTGAGGCCTGAACTTGCACTTACACAGAATACATGAAAGTATTGTTAGCAGAAACAATTTTAAGCCCACACACAATGTAATAAAACCTCTGATTATAACTGACAATTAAAACTTGAACTTGATCAATACCATTTTTCCCAAAAACACATTTAACACATCATCAACTTTATACAATTTTTAAGACATTGTAAGACCTAAAATTCAGATGATTGGATTTTAGACTTTTAAAAAGACCTTCAGAGACCCTGTATTTGTGATTAAGACAGTAAATACTTGAAGATCTTTAAGAAATCTTGTTAAAATGATATTCTCTTCTCAAAATGCCACACAGAACTCACGAGTGCTTTTATCAACGACTTTACTGAGTCTGTGCTCTGTTTAGGATTTGAACCACGTGATGTCAGGCGAGGTGCTAGATGAAGACATCCCCCCTCCCTCAGTGTCACTGCCCAAGCTGGCAGCTTTGCTGAGGGTTTTCAGCACAGTGGTCCGCAGCATCGGAGAGCGATTCAACCCTTTCAGAGGACCACCCATTACTGAGGTCTACGTCACTGATGTAAGAGACGCTCCTCGGAGAACCTTGCTTAGGGCTGAGCAGTGTTCATATTATAGAGGATGCACTAAATAGATGATCCAGTCAACTCGTGGGAAAAATTAGGAAAGCAGTATGAGACTTTATGCAATGATTATGTCGTTGTAGTGATTTTGTGTGAATACAAGTTTTTTTTTTTTTAAAGTCTTATCTTGATACAATATAAAGCACTGAGAGATCCCTTTCTAGTGTGACTAGGGTGTAAAATCCTCAGCTAATATTAGCAGTTTGAGTTGAACAAAGAAGAGATCTTCCAAAGTTACAGTCTCGTCAGCACCAAATCCTTTCTTTGTGTTACAATACCTCCACTGCAGCTCAGCAAGGAAACCATTCCAGGAAACACACTTACACTT